TTTTATTCAGAATTTTTATAGGCTAATTTACCCGATTAATGTTTTAATCGTATTTTGAGAACTATAGTTCTCTGTTATCTGCCAACATATTTCCTATAAATAAAAGTATGATGACAAATTAAGAAATTAAGGTTCTAATCTTTTTAGTCACAAGTTTTCAAATATTTAATTTTGATGATCATTTGAAAGTCCGATTTAGATAACTTAAAAAAAAACGAATAGATATAGATAAACAACAATACAAAAGTAAAATATATAAAACTTACTTTTTATAATTTTACGGCTGGACTAAAGATACTAATAAAGGAATAATCTGAGGTTCTATGCAGTATCAACGTCAATGATTTCTTAAAACTACATATGATTATTACATCATTCTCGAATATATCCATCTAAAACTCCTCCTCTCGAGCAAGAAATCGATTTATTTCCTCTTGAAAATGGAGAACCAGTTTCTTCTTACATTATCTACAAATTCAATTAGGTTACAGACCTTTTTTCTTTTCTCGTTTATAATATATTGCAAAATAAGTAAAAGCTACAAAGAGCTGGCAAATACGAATCGTCTACGTTATTGATCTTTGAAAATGATAGACGCCAAGCATGAAAAATATTCATCAAGTTGCAGACAAATCAATTACCAAAGTAGTTTGAAAAAAATGGAAGCGACGTCTCTCTTTTATCTTCCTGTATGGACACTTTCGTCTTTTTGCGCAAAACACTGGTCACTGAAACCCACCACCACTGATCACATCAAACTCTCTTCAAGTTTCTAAAGATCGATCTAAAGGTTTCAAAAGTTAACTGAATTATTGTACTTTTTTTGTTTCGCGAAAATAGTATAGTGGATTGTTGTAACTAAATTGAATTATTGTACTTGCACACTGAAATTATCAGAATATTCATGATTTCCGGACCAATCCCTAAACAAAAATATTTCGAGACATTCTAGGCTCATCTAGCCATTACTAAAAACAATAATTCTGACAACAACAAAATATGTTGGTAATACATATAGCATAAACAGTATTTTATGAAATTTTAATTTCATTAGGTTATCAGTTTTCATTTGACAACCAGATATTTATCAAAACATTGACATGATCTTTTGTATTTGATAAAGTGGACTTTGTTGTTTGATCCACATGATCCTTTGTATGAAAGATTTGAGGGGTCCAAAATTTAAAGCAAAAGACTGGACTATGGACGTACAATGCTTTTGTAAGAGACTCCGGAGATAATTGGTTGAAGTGTAAATATAGAAATATATTTGTAGGATTTATTCTGTTGTTTTTTTTTTATCTTATGTATATGTTATTTTGTTCTAGAAAGATATTATATTTTTTTTAAACTTTAATAATTGTTTTAAAAAAACATGAACAGAAGAAGTTTATAGATGATATGGTAAAACTTTAATTTTTAAAATAATACATTATAACTCGTTAGGATTAGTGTTTTAAAAACAAATAAAGTCATAAGTTAAATCTTAACCATCCAATGATCACCATCATCTACTATACGACCTACTATACAACTAGGTGTTTTGCCCGCACTTGCGGGCCTAAACATTTTATAATTATTTTACTAATATATTTTTACTAATTGAAAGATTATAATGATAAATTATTATTTATGTTTTTTAAAAAAAATATTCATATTTCCATTTAAACATTCTTACATATATTTCTTTGTATATTATGTTCACTATTAAAAATAAATCTTAAAATCAAATAATATTTTCAATTATATAAAATTAAGAATTTTACTTGATTAATATTTAGTTATGTATTTTCTATTTTTTATTAAAATATATGGGTAGATAACAACACAATATACATAGGAATTATCTTATTTAAATACATATTATTTGGATTTTGGATAGTTCTTTGATTATTATTAGTTTTAATTACTTATCTAACTAAAATAATTAAATTCGTTTTTATTTTGTATGTAATTTATATACATTAAGGGTATGAACGATATTAACCAGTGTAACTTTTAACGTGGGAGCTCCATTGTGAAAAATCACTTAAATGCGGACATGTAGACTTAATTATATTTAAGTCAATTTAAAAAATCATCAAAATAAATGATTATTTGTATCCAAATAATTCGACCTATAACATTAAACTTTTTTTACATTGATAAAGTTATTCACAAATTAAAAACAAATCTATGTTTTCCTTAAAATTTTGAAAAATTTAAAGTCTGTTTCATTTCTTCTTAATTGATAAAAAATATAGAAATCTCTCTTTCAATTTGAAAAATAGAAGCGATAAATATACATTCAAAAATTAATCTTACATAAAGAATAAAATTAATTTGGATAATAATACAATATATTTGAATATATTTTTGTCACACATATTTTCTTTCTTTTTGAATGATCTTTTATTTTATATGATTAGTTCATGTTTATGGTTTAACTATATAAAATATAAACATAAATTTAATTTAACGTGAGAGTTCAGAGGTGAAAAATAACTTCATGAATATATATCATTATATTATATTATTATATTATTTTAATTTGCAAATAATTACGTATTATACCTTTTTAATTATATAGAATTAAAAATTTTACTTTATGAATATTTATTTATGTGTTTTTTGTTTTTGAATTTTTTATTAAAAATATATTTTCCGGATAACAACACAATATCTATAAGAATTATCTTTTTATTTTATTTTTAAATATATATTTAGATTATGGATAATTCTTATTATTATTATTAATTTAAATCATTTATCTAATCAAATAAGTATTAAATTCGTTTTCATTTTTAGCTGATTTATATATTATTTTCGTTAAGGGTATAAATTATATTAACCAATATAACTTTTAAGTTGAGAACTCCGTTGCAAAAAATCACTTCGCATATAATATTATAGATGTGAATAATGCTTTAGAATTGGAACGCCAGCAATGCAACGAGATACAGCGAAGTAGTTTTAGTTTGGTGTTTATTGGGCCTATGGTTATTTTAACGGGCTTGAAATTAGCGGGTTTACACGGGCTAGTTATGTAAAAGTATCTACAGTTGACATGAGTAGAAGTCAGTTTGGTTTATATATAAAAAAGTCAACAGTTGGCTCTTAAAAGTCAGAAGCAAAATAAGCAAGGACATTGAGACAAGCAGTGACGTGGGTGCAGTCGTGCAGACAGAAGAAGGAAATGTGTCGTGCCAGTAACTAAGCTTCTAAATATAGACCGATGAGACAAAATAACAACCAATCAAAAGTCCCCTAACTGTAGAGAAGAAGTTATTATATTATGTAAGAAGAAGACGATATGAAGAAACAACAACGAGGGACAAGAAGAAAGGGAATCTGAAGCCTGAAGGTGATGAAGAAAGCTCATGAATGTGAGGCTTAACGAGGCTAATATGAGGCTACAAGAAGCTGCAATGATAGTCCGTGAGGAGATAAAGATAATATCTCGGAAGCAAGAGACAAAGAAACATGATGAATCATCTGGTTCGAATTAAGATAAAAGATCACAATACAATAGAGTCTTGAAACTAGGAACAGGGGGAGCAGAGAGTGTAATAAAAAAAGAACTAAAGAAGTTGGCAGATATAGCAACAAAGCTTCAACAATGAGATGATCATCGTCCCACTTATCAGTTATTTATCACTGTCTGACTGTGTAGCAAGTCTTACATAGCTACCTTGTACTTCCTCACCTTTCTACTGTTCAACATGTGGTGCACCAAGCCATCAATATGCTCGGAAGTAACCAGCCTGACACGCACCAAGCCAATGGGTGTAACTCTTGGGATACTCGTTAGCATCACGTTTTGCATTACAAGGTGGTAACCTCTTCCAAGAACCAAGACGGTAATGTTTGATTACTAAATGAAATAAAATTCTTTTTTTTTTCCCATGTTTTTATTCAGCCTATCCCGTACGCTGAACGCTTATGACGTTAGAACCGAGAAGGACCCCATCCCAGTTCCTTAAACAACAATATTTAAGTTTCTTTTTTTTAAATTAAAAATGAAAGATCGTACAAAAATATAATAATTTAGGGAAGTATATGAATAAATTTGTGGGGGATTTTGCAATAAAAGAGATGTACTATTCTGAGTAGATGGCAGAAGCTGGGAAACTGAACCTCCTCCTCTACTGTCTCAAAAACTATATGTTTGGTCCTCTTCTTTCCTCAACCCCACGCACTTCCCCCCCTCTCTCTCTATCCCTAACCGACAGCTGCAACATAGACTTTATTTATATATATTCTTTTAATAATTCTGATTTTAATAATATTCTCTCTCTAAACCTTTTAAAAGGACTACTATTACGTCAGTTGTCACTTAATGACTAAACATTACCCGTTCGATCATAATTAGAAGAAAAAAGCGACGAATCCTATAAACATACTTTAAAAACCATTATTAACGGAGCATCTCACATAATCTTCCATATTTAATTATAAAAAATAAACAACCAATAGAGAAAAAGTGAAACTATTTTTAAATGAAATCCTTATAAAAAAACTCTAGTGACATTTAGTGGTTGTTTATATATATATAAAAATCTGAGTGAATTATTAAATAATATTACAAAAGTAAAGATGAAATATCCTCGTTAGGGTATACTCTGGATGCCTTTAAAATCTTTGTCAATAATAACCAAACAAAAAAAGTTAAATAATACTCCCTCCGTTCCTTAAAGATACATATTCTAGAAAAAAATTTTGTTTCTAAAAGATCCATTTTTTACATTTTCAATGCATGTTTTATTAACTAATTGTAAACTTCAAAAAACTTAATTGCACTAATTGATTTTCTATTGGCTAAAAATTATGGAAAGAAGATAAAGACAAAAAACAATGCAAATTTATTGTGTTTTATTAAAAAGTGTGAAAAAACTAGAATATAGATCTTTTAGGAACAGAGGGAGTAGTATAAATCTCAGAAAACGATAGCTCCTCTGATTGTTGCACACTAACCACTTTTAATACCCCTTTTTATCTCTCTCTCTCTCTCTCTTTCGGAGATTTTTGAGAGAGTCTCCTCTTTTATCTCTCTCTCTTTTTCGCTCCTCATGATCCGATTATTTATTTTTGTAAAATTTATGTGATAGTTACAGACACACGTTATATGTGTGTACATGTAATCTATCTAATCTTATATTTGATGGAGACAATAACCATTAGAATCTGACTCAATGGATCTCATTTCTTCTTAGAGAGATATTTTTCTGTCTCTTTTCATTCCCCTGTCTCTCAGATCTGTTTCTGTTCTGTTCGTCTCTCTCTGACCATTGCCAAGCTTCAAGCTTCTTTTTTTTCTCTTACGGGTAATTGTTTTATTTTAAGAAGTTGAATTTATTTGATTATTTTCTATTTTTATTAATTTAAAGTCCAAGTATGTTTTTTTTTTGTTCGTCATGATAAAGCTTGATGCTTTTTCTTTTCCCTTTATAGCTCTTAACTGTTGAATTCTTGTTTAGGAAAATATATATAAACTTTGGTTCTCTTATCTGGAAAATCTTGTATGGCATCTTCCACTATAGCATTTACTTATTTGCATGTTTTAGATTTATACTGAAACTATATATAGCCATTTATGGATGCTCTTTTTTATGTGTGTGTGTTGATGTGATATATAGGAGGGTTTAGCAGAGGTTTCTAAGATTTAAAAACCTTTTATAGAAAATAGGAACGCTCATTGGTTTTTTAATCTTGTTTTGTAATATAAATGTTTTAAGTTAGTACAATAAGCTTCCATGGATGTTCTGTCTTGTTAGTTTGTATACGTGTTGGAATGTTAATGTTGATCCTTTTTTTAACTGTTTAATCTGTGATGTTTCCCAATCTCATTTTGCCCATTTGTCCCTGCGCATTTGATAGGATAAAAGAGTTATAGTTCCGAGGGAGACGCCATGTATTTCTTTGGTTTGTCTAAAGAAGAAGTGTTGTCACAGAAACATGTTGTATCATTTAAAGAGACTTCTAAGCAGAATCCAACCAGTACAGTCACTCTCTTTGGGAGACAGGTTAGCTTTATTCAGATCCTAGTCCTGTCCATTGTTTTGACTTAAGATGTGATGAGATTGTTCATTATCAGTTGTATCCGGTGAAAAGGGAGAGCTCCAATCTCAGCAATGGATGCATGAGGATAAAAGATATTGATCTTCGGTTTCCTGCAGATCATTACACTTTTAATAACTTTGATGAGACACTTGGTTCTGGCATTGGTGGTTCACAAAACACTGTAGAGATGGGTTTTCATTCAGCATTGGAAGCTAATAATGAGGAGAAAGAAGCGTTAACCACAAGTTGGAGTGGCAAGAGAAACCCAAAAATTGTTATAGATCTTGAAGAACTTCCCGCAGCAGAGGATGAAGATTCTGTTAGCTATGTTACTGTGAGAAGTCCTGAAACAAAACCATCCTTCTCGCCTGATCAATATCTTGTAGAGGATGGTGTGGAGTCAGGTTTACTGGACCTTAATAGAACCCCTGCTGCTGATGAGTTGGTTTCCGAGCCTCATTACTGTTTCTTACAAGATCTCAACTGTCCTTACATTGAAGAGACAGAAACAAGCTGTGAGAAGAGTGGTGTAGATGATGGTACTACGCCCCTTTGCTCTCCTAAATCCCAAAACGTCCACGAAAAGGAAGGTACTGCATCTCCAGCTTCAGATACTTCTTGCTGCACCACTGAAAACAACTTAAGAAGAGGTTCCTCCTCTCCTCGAGCACTTGATCCTTCTTGTCGCACACGGCTTGAGTTCCCTGTCTTACCAGAGAACGAACGTTGTAACAACGAGGAGGAAGAGTTCTCTGAAGTGATTCAAATGGCAGCTGAGTCATTAGTCCACATATCAACGGTTCCATATCAAAACCAAGACTTGGAATCAAAGCCTGTGTCCAGAACCAACAGCTTATCTCAAGATCAAGACTTGGCATGTTGGTCCTGTGATTCATATGAGCTACACACGTTAGGTATAACCGAAAACAACACAGAAGAAGACTTGTGCGTGTCATCAATGGCGCGTGATGAACTTAATAACATCACTAGAGATAGCAGCAACAAAGAGATGGGACTTAAGCTGAGAAGAGGGAGGAGGATGAAGAACTTTCTGAAGGAGATACTCCCCAACTTAACGTCTCTCTCTAGGCACGAGATCCGTGAAGATGTTAATGTATTGGAAGCGGTTTTGAGATCAAGAGAGTACAAGAAGATGCAAGGGAAAGCCAAAGATGTCAAAGTAGGTGTAAACTTGAAAAACAAACGTTCAGTTTCACAGAGGTGCGTTGGTAAAAGAAGGCGAAAACATGAATGAGATCTTATGATGGTATCTTCATGGTGTTTCAGATTGCTTCATTGTGTAATCTTTTAACAGTCTGTGTTGTTCAATTCTTTTTTCTATATTTAACTTATGACATTGATTATTGATAAAGAGGAGAAAGCTAGTGAGCTGATGACTTTCTGTTTCTTATTCTCTCTCAAAAGGTTACTTGAGTTGTTTGTTAGGTTGTGATAAAAAAAAAAAGAGTTGTTTGTTAGGGAGAAACTTGAATGTGTTCTTGTCTTGGAATCTTGGAACAGAGTTCGTAACCCAACATTAAAACTTATAAGTTATGGGCCGTGGCCCATTTACTTATGAGGCCTCCATTTTATTATCATTACATCTCCAAATTGTCGTTATAGATTTGTGGCCATGTCTTCAGAATCAAGAATCAGTGTGGAGTAGTCTCGGTTTGAATTTCCAATTTGGTGAAGTTTTCTGAGTTATGACTGACCGTGCTATACCACACTTATGTGTTAATTATGTATGGTTTATTTATTTTATGTGTTATTTATTCACTGATTTGTGTATTTTTAACCTAAGTTAGTTCATGATATTAATTATATATCTTCGAAATATTCGAAAAAAATCGACTGTGGTTTATACTGATGTTATAAAAATTATACAATATATTTACATGTAATTTGTTTTCTTAAGACATTAATTCAGTTCATTTCTCATTTTATGTGATGAACGCCACAATTTTGTTTATCCACAAATATTACAAATATCTTTTCTCGAAAACATTACACCCGTTCACCGGGACTTTGGTCGGCTGCTCATCTATCATCAAATCACCAGGTTACGTGCCTCTTGCAGAATTTATAGTTAGTTTTAGATCATGCGCTTTTAAAAAGATTCAACATATTTTTGTATAGATATACCTATACGGCTATACAAGAGAACCAAGAACAGATAACTTTTTTTTTTCCGATAAACCCTATCAGCTGATCGAATTCAAATCGAGACTAACCAAATAATAATGTAATTTTTAGAGAGAATCGAACTTATGGCTGATGTTACAAACCAAGCTTCAAAAAATTATCAATACGCTATCATCATTTGGTTAGTACACTGTACACAGAGCTTTCCTTTTCTTTTCCGCTTCAACTTACATTAGTGAGAGTTTTTGTATATATATTTATATTTTCTGCTTTCTGTGACAACTGGAAATATATTAATGTAATGAACATGAATATATTCCAAAGAGGAATCTGGACGAATCCACACGACAATACTTGAATTCTTGACAAAGAAATAGTTTCATCTTTCCCCCCACCCCACTCTCCTCTCATGTGTTTTATAAGTCAAAGAAAGACATTAAATTGAACTAGTGTTCTTTAGACCAAAAGTTCATGATTACCTGTCTGTGATTGGCTCATGTAAGTTCCCGATCCAAATAAGTCTCATTTCAACATTATTGCTCTTCGACAATCATTACAGTAAATCATACTATGTTGCAATACTATAATATATATTTCTAAGATATTTTCCTATATGCTCTTCTTTAAGATGGTCGTCAATATATTGGAATATACTGTGGCCTTGTTGATCTTTTTTTGGTACGTAATGTGAATCTGGGTCCAGCTATATATGATGAATGGAAAAGAATATATAGAAAATCTATTGTCAAAAGAGATCACTAAATAAATTGATCTGAATAAAATAAAAATATCATAATTTAAACTAGATATACAGATCATCAATTAATGTACATTTTATTACGTAACTTAAAAAAACTATGTACATTCTTAAACAAAAGAAGTTACATGTAACATATTATAATCTCATTAATATGTTACGTATACTTTCTTCAGTAACTACAATTTATAAAATGAAAACTAGTGGAAATTATGCTAGAAGTCTTATATCCCAAATTAGATATACAGAAAAGTACGTTATTTATAATATTTTATTTTAGAATTACGTAAATAAAATGAAAATAATTCAATTAATTATGCAGTTAGATTATGAGTTCAGATAGCTCTCACGACGATAAACTTTAGCTCTTTGGCAGAAAAAAAAAAGAAAAAGATATACACTTTATCCAGCTCAATCCAAAATAGCGGATTGTTGAAGGAAGTATTTGAAGCAGATAGTTAGATCAGTATGGATTTTAGTTCATCAATGATGGATTTGATTAGATTAGCATGGACATTAATTTATTCATATATCGACGGATTTGATTAATGTACATATGCAGGAATGGATATATTGATTGAAGTTTGATCATATATGTCCAAATTCAGAATTTAAAGCTGCATGATTGGGGTGGGTATAGAATATTTGAGAAACCATATAATTAAATTATAATGTATATCTGAAAACTAGATAAGAGCTGGGAGACAAATGTTAGACAGACAAACGTGCACAGAACATTCTTTGCTATTTATATCGCAAGCATATACATATGGAAATTGCAAATCAAAGCTCCACACATTTAGCTCATCTTTTATAATTTTGGAACAAATGCATGAAGGGTCTATCTTTTGGGTCATCAAAGCCAATACGCAAATAATTCAGTCAATAATTTGGCGAAAAGATAATAATCGCAGTGTTTTTTGTCCTATCTAAAATATTCATGATAAGCATTCATATAATTACTTTTGATTTAAATTTATATAATCGTTCTTGCCATTACTCTATTATATTATGTAAGCAGGGTAATTATGTTTATTTAGTACTCATTCCATTTTATTTTAGTTGTCGTTTTAGATTTTTGCACACAGATTAAAAAATAATTAATTTTACATGTTTTCAAAATAAAAATACATTTACCTATACACCTAACCACATTTCAACCAATGAAAAAATAGAATAACATTTAAAATCAATAAATTTTGCATTGAAATTATAAATAAAAACTTATTTTGAAACGAAAATGTTACTCTAAAACAACATATAATTTAAAACGGAGAAAGTAGTATTTTTTGTCAACAAAAAAAGTATATATATATATATATATAAAAGTATATAATTTGAGAAAAATACAAGAATATAAAAGTAGCTAGTCTAGTGAAGGGGCATCGTAAAACTATATTGATCTTTTGTCATTGATATAATTTTGGACTATCTCTCAAATAATTCATGCCACTTGATCAATAGTCACCGAGGACCAGACCAATAGATTCTCAAAACTAGGGAGTCATGAATTCACTTATATCCAAAAAGACAAAAGTTGAAAATATCAGACAAATTGAAATTTAAACAATACACATTAATTGCCTTAAATCTAAGAAATTTTACAATTTCTGCTTTTATGCAAATCCAAATGGGAAAACTTTAACCGTTATCCCTTATCAGTCAGTCCATTATTTGTAGACTTGGAAACAAGAGGTAATTGAAAGAAAGAAAAATCTTTGACCAAAAAAAAAATGAAAGAAAGAAAAATCATCATAAAATATACCACGAAATTCGAAATCAAATTCGTACATATCGACATTGACAGAATATTCATGATCATGATCATGCATGACCCATGGGAATTTCCGGCTCGTCTTCCAACTCAATCCCGAGCTCAGCTAGTCTCTTGTCTTTGTAAACGTACCACTTAGAGAAAACGAGGAAAATAAGGAAGTTCAAAGTAACAATGACGGCCACAAGCCAATAGAAATTATATAAACGGCCCTTGTTGAGATCATCAGCGATCCACGGATGAGCCTTATCGGCGAATTTCTCAACAATAGTCACGAGAACCGAACTGAAGAAAAACCCTAACGCCAATGTGCTCAACAATAGCCCCGTGCTCATCGTTTTCATACCTTTAGGGCACTCTCTCAAGAAAAAATCCAACTGTCCTGTGTATATCAATGCCTCGCCGATACCAACAATAAGGTATTGTGGTATGAGTAGATAAAACCCTAGAGGAAGCGTTTTGACTGTAGGACCGTGGGAATGTGCGGTTCTAAGACGTTTGATCTCTACCAAAGCAGCTACGGCCATACCCATGGCTGCGAGTATGAGACCTAAACCAATGCGTTGAAGCGGTCTCAAACCTTGAGGGTAGTTGAATAGCTTTTTGCATAAGGGAATGGCGACTCGGTCGTAAAGGGCGGTCGTTAGGAGGAGGCCACCAACATAGAATACGGCCATTGAGGCTGGAGGGATCTCAAAGCTGCCAATGTGACGGTCCATAGTCTCGGATTGTGCCACTGATAATGTAGTCAATTGAGCATGGACGGTCCAAAAGAGGATGCATGTTGCCCAAATTGGTAACATCCGAACGATTTGTTTCACTTCCTCAACATCGGTTAGTGTTGAAAGTGTCCATTTGTTGAATACGTTTTGGGTCATTGACGTTTCTTGTTGGTCTTTTATCGCTGCCTTGTCTAACGAACTGTGGGATCAAAAAAGGATATAAGGAATAGTTAGGACTCATGATATTAATTTTAAATCTTATGGAGAAAAATGTATTGTTGGATTAGTGACATGTCTCTATTGTTACAAAAGATCTTTAGTGTGTTTCTTAGAAAGAGCTGGCTTGTTGATAGCGAAATAGATACTGTACTGAAATGTCCCAAATTATTGAAATTTCATTATTTTTATTTTTATTTATTTAGTGTTTTTTAACTTGTTAACATATCAACTTTTTGGGATATAGCTCTTCACACATGGCAAAGAAATATACATATGCAAATCAGCACATTCGTAATTGCTTTCCAATTTAAAGTAATGTAGAAAATAGCGATGTAAAACGTTAAAACGGGTTTCTAAAGCTTAATTTCAATAAACTTGGAAACGCCAAAAAAATAGACAATTTGAAATTATGAAGCAAAGTAGGGTTCGAAAATGGTTACCACTACAAGACAAAACAACTGTCTCCCTAACTTGTCGTTTCTTTCTTCTTTGTTTATTTTCATTCATCTCCACACGAGGAGATCAAATATATAGGGATGGTATACACGATACTATATATATATTGTTATCTGGGATTAAAAGTAATTTGATTCCTTTGGATTCTTGGCATGCATAGGGATTGATGCGTGAAAGATACTGTACTTGGCTGGCGAACAAAACAAAGAGAAACATACTGTACTTGACGGGGGAAATCACGAATTCACGAGTCAGGTATCTATATATGTATTTATTTATACTCTGAAGCAAGAGAATCTGTCATAAAATATTGTACTACTAAAATAAAACAATTGAATTATAATAACAATTTTTACGTTCACCGCGAATTGTGGCTAAAGC